AAGAACCTCGTCTGCTGGAGTTACGTTGGAATTAGATGCAAAATCAGTTCAAACTCGTAACTTGGGTAGCTTGAACAATAATTCATTGGTAATCGTCCTCGAGGTACCCACACTATATTCACAAGATTTATTGGATATTGAAAAAAAATATTCTAAACATTCTTTTTAAAATTTGGCGCTTTTAATGTAGTTGGTAGCATTGTCAAAGTGCTACGGTCTGTGCAATAGTCGTGCTGCTCACGTCTTTTAACTTTTAGTCGCTAACATGTCTGTACCCCGGAGGTAAAGGACACTATGTCCATTTTTATCAAAATTGGGATTATTGCACTTTTGAATATAACTTTTCTTGCTCTACACAGAGGCAAACCATACTATGTCCAGAGACAATTTTACGGTAAGTTACCGACTTTTTAATAAACATCAAGTCCACTTCCAGTTAGAGGTAAAAAACACCAAGTGGCCTTGGTGTTGTTTAGTTCTACTAAATGTGTGCACTGTTATTTACCATCCGCACAAGGTGTTATGTACCCTGGTACCTGGTGAAATTGTTATGAACTAAAATAATTGTAGCCATTTTATTTAGTTCGCAATAGTGTTAGATTATTAAAAGTTGTACAATACATACGTTGTTTAATAATTGCAAAAGGGATCCGAACTTTTGTGGGAAAAGAATACTACCATTACTGTCATGTAATATTCTTAATGAAACAACACCTACAGGTAAGCTATTGTTTAATAACGGTGATTTAGTATTTGGTTAACTTTAGATATTTAGTATTTTATATTCTTTTGTATAAGTCTCAGAAATTCCGAGTAACGGAAATTGCTCAGTAAATTACGGTCTTTGGTTATAAGGATTATTTTTGTGTTGGCCAATTATAGGCCTACAAGATTAGCCAATAATTATTATTACATGGCTGGATTTGTTTCAGAACCACCTGACCATTACAGTAACGTTCAAGGTAATGGTAAGGAAGTGGACGAAGATGATAATTTGTTTGGGCATGATACTTCGCATATTAATAAAACCTATGAGCCTCTAAGTGGTGAAACATATAGGTAAACCAGCGAAAACAAAGGTCAAAGAGAAAGCTATTACGACTCCTACGACTGGTGAAGCAATAACAAGAAATCTTCTTAAGGACGATTTATCCCTGAGCAGTGATGCAGGCAATTCCAATGAACTTAATGAAATTATTTTGGAAGAGAAAAATGTCAAAAGAAAGGTATAAAATGTAACTAAGTGCAAACAAAAAGATAAAAAACGTGTAGTGAATGAAAAAATTGGGCCTGTAATGTTCGCAAACGGAAAATAGCTGGTGAGAAAGAGTATCTCAGTAAAAGAGGCGAAACCATGCCTGCAAAAATGTAAAAGCCTCTTTACATATGTCGCATGAAATGCTCTGAAAAATTACCAGAATACGAAAGACAAACGTTTCAGATGTTAAAAAGCAATTTATCTTCTCATGTGTTGACATCCAATCTACTCTTCGATCAAGCAAAAGAGACCGAAACTCACCAATCAGCGATTGAAAGTGTGCAAGATTATGTTTTTAAACATACTTTTTATATCTAATTTAGTAGTAGTGAATATGTTGAAAAAAATTGAACCAGGTTACATAAAAGCTGATCAAAAAGGTATACACACGCCAATCAATAAAACTCCTACCGAAACCATAAATAGTATACATCAACATATCAATTCCTTCCCAAAGTACGAGAGTTATTATTCTAGAGAAAGGAGCAAGAGAAATTATTTGGGCACAGAATTTAGAAGAGATGTATCAACTGTACATTGATGAATGCAATGAAAGCTATGTGGATCCAAAGCTAAGATCAAAAAAGTGGTTGTACGCAGATATTTTTATTAAAGACTTTGTCTTTTAAACTATTTTTTTAAAGTTGTCGTTTAAATCACCCGTAATACACATTTGCGATACATGCAGTACGACCACCGCATAATTAAAAAATAATCTTACTGCAGAGGAACTAACCAGTTTACAGGCTGATAATGATGCTCACCTAATTGAATCTAAAACTAGGTGTAACAACGGTGTAACTTTAGGATGGCTAAACAGACACCAAAATACAATTCTCATTTTGTATCGAGTAATAATATTGAATTCATTTCCGTCAATTATTTCCGCATTACGAATTTATCATTTTTCATCACTTCAAAATGCACTATGGAAAATACATTTTCCTTGTTCAACAATGCAACTTTCATTTCGACGACATCACCTTAGTTCACAAAATTTCCTAATACTCTTACGAATCGAATGCATTAAGTTTAATTGAGATTCAATTGCAAAAAATGGTAGGATTATTGCTTCATTGCCTCGGCTAATTAGCTTCGATTTAATATAAAAATGAAACAAATATAACGATTGAGCCATTAAAGTATGTTTCCGAAATACAAGTCCGATTTTGTTAATGAATTGTATCTGGAGAACATACCGAACTTAAAAGAAATGATAATGAACTGTTGGAATGTGTGAAATGCGTTGATCTCAACTACTATACTTTGATGATCAACGTCATGGAAAATATTAGAACAAAAATATATTAAGATCTTAGTGACTAGAAGTAAATAAGATTTATAAACATTTAGTACGTTATTTTCTTAATAGTGAAATATTTTCATAACTAGTCTCACTCTTATGTACTAGTATATTATTATATTTGGAATGTTTTTTAACAGGTAGTTGTCGCCCGAAGCAAAATGGTACTCTTGTTAAATTGAAAAATTTTTACGTGTGACATTCATTTTAAACAAACAATTGAATCAGTCATAGCTTTTTTCTGAATAATACTAGGGATGATTATATTAACGGGTAGGTTCTTTAACTATATCATCATCAACATCCATGCCTACACGGAAGATAAAAATGAAGAGGTTGAGAAATACCTATTTTATCACAAACTGGAAAGCAATAACAGACAATATTAGGAGAACATAATAATCATTAAATGTGATTTGACGGCCACAAAAATATCTATCTACAACACAATGTACCTATTGGGTATTCGAAATGTCTACGACATGTAATAGCTCTCTTATGCTCAAACAAGTCCTTCAGAGCTTCTTTTAACAAATTTATCAGCTGCGATATCTTCCAATAGTGAATCTAAGCAATTAGTTTACATATGACAGAATTTAAATAGTTATGATAATATAGCTCCGAATTTGGATTTTATAATGTTCGAAAAATTTTTGGTTAGCGTGAGGCTTGAACCAACTACCACACCCAATGAAGTGAGGAAACATGGTAGTTTCCATGATGTATGCCTCCAATTATGACATACGTAAAAGTAGATATAGAAAGAACTCGATACTGTATGTAAAAGATATGAGCAGACTGGGCGTAAGAGCGAGCACGGAATGGAGGAAAGTGAATAGCAAAATTTCCGCTTTAATAATAGTTTCCAATTTAATTGCACAAAATTCGTATAATACGGGATTATAAAAGAAATGTTCATGAGGATCATATTTAACTGTATTTACAACAAATGCGATGAATATCTAAGCCGCCCAAAATAGGGATTCAGAAAGATATGCAATTCTGGAGCTAACGTTAATACTGAAAGATATTTGTAGGTGAAAACAAACCTCTACAATTGCTTTGATATCACTATCATTTCTATACGTATTGGAATGACACATAATACATTTGAACAAACAATGGTAACACTAAATTGATAAACATTGACCAAGGAATAAATAAAGGGTACCAAGGGTGATCAAAACAGAAAATAAAAAACAGCTCCAGATACTAATGAATAGACACACTGGAATCGGGTTGGAAATGAATACCATAAACACAAAAACGTTAGTTAGAGACTTACAAGCCCATTACAATCTTAATATTAGTGCCAATGGAATAAATTTCAATCTCCGTTCAAAAATATGTATGTCGGGGTAGAGAAATGAATTGCCTTCTAGACTACTCAAAGGAAATACAGAGAATAATTAAAATCGCCAGAGCAGGATTAAGGAAGACGGGAATCATATATTGCAAATAAAATTGACCATACCAAAAAAACTAAAAATACTAAAATGACACATATATGGTCCTGCTTCTGTATGGCTGCGAAAGATGGACACTCAAACAGGGCGAAATCAACAATTAAACGCATTTGCAATGCGGCTGTACAGAATAATCTTACGAATTTGTCAAGGATGAATACTCGCCCACATCTGAAGTGGGAAAACCTCTTATCTTCCACATAGAATGCGCCACAAGGAATACGAACAACTAGAACTAATTATTGAGGGAAAAATTGAAAGAAAACGGTATAGGAGGAAAGGAAAAAATGGTGACTCAAGAATATAAGAGGCTGTACCAGAATTGAAGGAAACGCTCTCATACGCCAAGCCCACAATGGACAAGGAGGAAAATAGAAAGTAAAGGGTCACCCTGGAACTGTTTTCCAAAAAAAAGAAGTTTTTATGTAATGATAAAACTGGTAATGATAGGTTTTTAAAAGATATTGATTGGTATGTGTACGTCCAATATAATATTACTTAATTTTTTTCTTAGACAAATCGTTCTAAAAATATGGATTTATGTCAAATTAAAAATGGTTTCAATCGATAAAAAAAATTATTACCAAACAGAATATGTTTCTCAATTCATTTTTTTTATATAAAAAAATGGAACTATTGATTTGTACTATCCCGTGGACTGAAGCTGCCAATAATTTCGATCACAAAATATCCAAGATGTTGTTATTAAAAAGTTTTTAACTAATATTTTGGCTCATTCTACTGACTAGTAATTTATATTTTTAAAATCATGTCACTATAATAAAACATAAAATTTTAAAATAAAAATATCTCTTTTTTTATTTTGAGAAAAATTACTCAAAACATATTGCTTTTTAACCAACCATTAACAAACAACACAGTTTCTGATGGTAACTGGTATATCGTCATTATTCAAATTATTATCACACATACTATCATCATTAGTATCCGTAGTAGTACCTTGAATGCCTACCTGAGTTAAACTGCCGCCGATTTTGCCCTTCTTCGGACGAGTTTCGTTCAGTTCTCGGGACATTGTTCTTAGCCAATCTCTGAGGCCGGATAAGCTGTGAAATTCTGAGTTTGGCAGTCTTGTGAAAGGATTGTTACCGGTAAGGTCTAAGATTGAAGCACCCAGTGACCTGCCCACCTAAAGGAAAACATTAGAATTGTGAAATACTATAGAATATAATCTTTTATGTAACCATTGAAAACACATATTATGTAGTTAATTAATATTCTGAAAGAAAATGATAATTCATTTTATAAATAAAACACTAAAAACTAATATTGTTTAAAATATTTTAATCGTTTTTAACAAATTCATAACATCAGAAGAATGTGAAATATTCGCGTATTATGCCCAAAGACACATCATCTCATTTTGTTAACACACTTGCCACAAATGTAAATCCAAAATATGAATTTGATCAAAGTTTGTTTTAGTTTTGGATGGTTCATCGCCAATAGGAATTCATTCAAAGTTGATGAAAATGAAATTTAAACATAATCGTATATCGGTTGATAATGATCTATGTGAAGATAACGTATCGATAAAGATCAATAACGTATGATACACAAACGGTTTTAGACAAAAATTAATGGGTCTACGGGCATTTTTTTAACCGACTTATGGCATGTGATCTATTCTCATTTATTCCTTGTATACTCCCCTTATAACTTTCATCAATGTATTTGTCTGTTGGTAATTCCTTGGCAAGTATCAAATTTAACGATTTGAGGAAGGGATATTTCTTTTGTATATTTAAGGAGAATTTTAATTCATAAATACATATTATTTCGTCCTTTTTGTTCTTCCAATCTGCGGCTCTGTTTGATCTATTCACGTGATCTTCCACTTCTGTTTCGAGTTTTTCGTAGCTAGATAATGTGATGCCTAGATATTTAAACACCATCACTTGTTCTATTATCTGACCTTCCAGCTCCAATTTACATCTTAGTAAATTTGCTGTTATAACCATGCATTTTGTCGTTTTGGGAGAAATTAACATGTTAAATTTTCTGGCGGATATATTAAATTGGTGTAACATACGTTGTGAATCATCTTCACTTTCAGAGAACTGATCAGTTCTCTTGAAACATCAAGACGAAGCAGAACTAATCTGACTTGACAATGGCAAGTGTGACCTTGCCGAAACGTCGTCAAAACAATAGTTTTTCTAAAAACCAAAATTACTTAACGCGGAGTCAAACCCGGAAAACAACTGAAATTATATATATATATATATATATATATATATATATATATATATATATATATATATATGTTATATGTGAAAATAGTCACCTTGAACCACTCAAGGGTTACCGACACTTTGGTTTCGCAATATCAGTTCCTATTTCATCATTCTTTTAGCAAGCGTTCCCATAGAGATAGCTGACTATGCACGGACATCAAACTCTGACCAAAGCTGGCCTTTCGTGGGAAATGCCGACACCACATTTTGTAGATAGATTATAAATTCAGGACTAACATTATATTTTTCACTCGTCATATAAGTTTCTTACTAATAACATTTGTATTATATAATTTTATTTGCTTCATTTTATCGTATAACTAAGTGTAACTTTTATTTGTGAAATAAATCTTTTTTAAAAAGTCAATCAAGAAGTTAGTGATTTAACATTTGGCGCAGTCAGTAGGATCCGGTTAACGTTGTTAGAACAAGGAAACTCACTAGCAACGGCGGATCCCTATCCCTCAACGGAAAAAGAACCTAGAGCCGTCCTCATTCAACTGGATACTACGGAAGGAACACCTGGTGAAGCCCCTGGTAGCAGATCCCGTTAGAAAACAAGACGTACTCGATGTTTCTGTTAATGTAAGTTATTGAATCATCTCGTTTTTACTATTTTTATATTTGCAAACATACCGTACATACATCATAATTTTTTCAATTTATAATCTTGACTATACAGAAAGTCAAGCCAAGTTGATTATCTAATAAGGAAATACCTTTTTATTGCATACTTTTCTTATTTTATCATTCTTATTTACACATTTTATTGATTTCGTATTATATTTTCACCGATATTTTACTATATTTTACTTTATTTTACCACATTTTACTTGATTTTACCATATTTTACTTGATTTTAATACATTTTATTTTATTTTACCATATTTACTATTCGTATATTTTGTTTTATACTTCCGCTAACATATCAAAATGCCTGAAACACGTTCACAAACCCAAGTTGAAATTGAACCATACAAACTTTCAGAAATATTCTCCATAATTCCTGAGTTTGAAGGAGACCCAATCTCTCTTCCCACATTCTTAGACGCATGTGATTGCGCGATTAAAATGTCTTCGGGAGACCAACGTATTTTATTAACGATTCACATTAAAAATAAACTAAAAGGTAAAGCAGCTCAATTAATAAACTCTAGAAAACCAACTTCATACACAGACATAAAAAATTTATTAAACCTTCATTTCGGAGATAGTAGAGATCTCACTTCCTTAATTCACGACCTACAAAGACTTCGACAGTTATCGAACGAATCACCTTTAACCTTTTTCAACAGATTACAAGTTCTAAATGCAAACATGCACGCCTCAATTCAAAAATCAGGCCTAACACAAGACCAAAAAACCGCCCAATGCACGTTAATTGACTCTATGGCTTTGAATACTCTCTTAACTGGACTAGAACCCCGCTTAGGACAAATAATTAGGGCCAGTAACCCTAAAGACCTTATTGAAGCCAGTAACCGTATCCGACGTGAACTTCAGTTATCGTATTTCGAATCTCAAAAATCAAATAAAGATAGCCAAAATAATCCAAAACCTTCCCAACCGATGAGAAGAACCTCATCTAATTTTTCTAAATGTACAAGTTGTGGTCGTATTGGCCATTTAAGTAGCGAATGTCGCTCATCACGTTTTTCTTATCAAAATCAATATAGCGGTAGACCACAAAACTACCAAAATAATCAAAACCAATCCAATCAATATAATACTAGATCACAAAATTACCCAAGTAATCAAAACCAATACTCTTCTAATCAACAAAATTTAAACCCACAGAGATCGAATTTCCCTTCTCAAAATCAACCGCAGAATCGCCCCTCTGTTATTCAGAGAAATCCAAATTTCCAAAATTTTCAGCAAAGAGCCCATGTCTTTAATGAATACCCTGACGATCTTGTAGAATCTTATGAAGATTATTATACAGAAAATGATTTTCAAACTAACTATTTTTACGAATATACCAATGACACATCTGATTATATTAATAATACACCTGATACAGAAAATTATCAGGATTTTCTTTCGCTACCCAATCAGAACCATCCCCCAGTACATACGAATCTTTCAACCGATATCACGAATGTACAACAACAAATCCAAGCCCTCAATTTGGACAATTTCGATCCAAATGTGAATTTCCCCGAACAGAAATTCCTGTAAGCCCCTTCCACACAATGAGCTCTAAAAACTTATATTATATCAATGACGCTACGAATACTTTTAAACTTCTAATTGACACCGGTGCAGGAATTACAGTTTTCAAAGAGAATACTGCACGAAATTATCATAACCGATCCCCAGAAAATGTTACCATTCAAGGCATAACCGACGAGAAACTTCTAATTACAGAATCTGTCCTTATTCCCTTTACCGATGACAACCCTCACAAAGTTTTCATTTTTAATCTAGACATTGACTTTGACGGCATAATAGGCCTAGATTTCCTAGACCACTACGAATGTGTAATAGACCTTAAAACAAGACAACTTCATACAAATTTTAAAACTCTTACCCTGCATAAAGTCGGACAAGAGACCCATAAACCCATAGAAAATATTCCGGTTACATTTTCTACAAAAATAGTACCGTCAAATAATTTCCAAACATATCCGAAATCAAACTCAAACGTTAAAGCTCAACACAATAGCAGCTCATTTCACGAAAACACTCATGATCAACACAAACACATCCCAAGACCAGGGAAAAAACGAATAAAAGAAAAAATAAACCAAATTTCGATTGATAGCCGAACAGAACAAATATTCAAATTGAAATGCAACCTATCCAATACAGACGCAATACTGTCATCCCAAGAAATCGAAAAAGTTCGAATTCCTCACGCATTAGTCCATGTAGACGAAAACGGAGACTTTTTAACTTCCGTCATTAATGCTAATGCAATGCCAAAAATAATCGAATTTTCGAATATTTCCATCGAACCTATCGAAAACTTGGAGACAATCTTCACCTACGATCAAAATCACTGCGAACAGCCAATTATAGACAGAGAAGAAATAATTAGAGAACAACTGAGAATTGACCACTTAAACTCAGAAGAAAAGGAACAAATTCTAAACATTTGTACGGAATTTTCCGATATATTTTACGTAGAAGGTGACAAGCTAACATTCACAAATGAAATTAAGCACGCAATCAAAACGAACAACGCGAAACCGATATACACGAAATCTTACAGATATCCACAGGTTCATAAAGAAGAGGTAAAGACGCAAACCAACAAAATGCTAGAGCAAGGAATAATTCGGCATAGCATATCGCCCTGGTCAAGCCCAGTGTGGGTGGTACCCAAAAAACTTGACGCATCTGGCAAACAGAAATGGAGAGTCGTTATTGACTATCGTAAACTTAATGAAGTTACGATAGAAGATCGTTATCCACTTCCACAAATTTCAGAATTGTTGGACCAACTTGGAAAGTGTCAATATTTTACAACATTAGATTTGGCGTCCGGATTCCACCAAATTGAAATCGATCCAAAAGATATCCAAAAAACAGCATTTTCAGTAGACAACGGACATTACGAATTTGTTCGTATGCCTTTCGGATTAAGGAATGCTCCTTCCACATTTCAACGAGTAATGGATAACATCCTCTTAGGAATTCAAAACGAGAGATGTTTAGTATATATGGACGACATAATCATCTATTCAGCCACCATTCATGAGCATATGTCACGACTGACAGAAGTATTTAAAAGATTAAGCAAAGCAAATCTGAAGATACAACCGGATAAATGTGAATTCTTAAGAAAAGAAGTCGCATACTTAGGACACCTCGTAACTGAACACGGAGTAAAAACAAATCCTGCCAAGGTATCATGCATAAAAAGTTTCCCAGAACCCAAGACAAC